CCCCATACGAGGCCGGGTGCGTCCCGTCGTATGAGGGGATTATGTTGTGATTGTGTTTGGTGAGTTGTGATGGATAAATCCTAAATTAGAATATGTATTTGTGTGGCGGTAATGGGTTATTTGATATTAGGAGCCAGGATAGATAGGAAAGAGCTACGTGTGGCTTGATCCCTCAGTAAGGGTACGTAGGCAGCCTGAAGTTACTAGGTGCAGCCACAGATTAGACCCCACTTAAGTGGTCTTATTGAGATTGGTTTGGACCTTGTTGTTGGTCCTGAAACTTGGTTGAATTGAGGTTTGTCCTGTGGACTAAGTGAGTGAAGGTGTGCATGAATAGATTTTGAATATGTTATATGCATGTCTGATGTATTAAGTTATTTTAAAAACTTGGTGGGCAGTTTTGCTAGAATTATTTGAAGGCCGGAGGCCATTTGTGTAAATTGCATGAGATTATATTGTGCATGCTTCTGGTTGGGTTATAAAATGTGTTTTATTTGAAAAGATTAACTAACAGTAAAAGAAATCTGAAAGTTGGGAAATAATAATAGCAAAGAAGAAAAACGATTTCTTTTTAAAGACTAAGAATTTAGAGAAAACTAGGGTTTAGCCAACACCGTCGCAATCCTATGCAATTCTATCAATTACTTATGAATTTCCACATATATGCTTTGAAGGTTAGGTTTTCCTAATGCATATTTTCCTTGTGATGTTCAGGTGAAAACGTATATCTAACATGCAATCCGTCTGTGATGTTCAGATCAAATCTAAACATGCAAGACTCATTAAGCTTTGTGAAAACCCTTTGAAAAACCATGCAACCCTTAAGAGCGTGATGTTCGCCTTAAGTGAACTTACAATTACTAATCACAAGAAGCCCTCCTCAATTTCAGGGTGATGTTCCAACAGAAATTGCATCAAGTTACTTGTCTACATATCCTAATGGTGATCAGTCATTAGAATAGATAGATAGTTTTAAACACAGTGATTAATAATTCAAAGCAAACATGCATCCATTCATAAGCAAATTAATAAAACTACATATTCATGCTAAGGCTTACGGCCTCACCCTAGCAAAAGGAATTAGTTACACATAATCATAATTGAAATCCAAGAAAATATCATTCGAATGAATAAGAATGAAAACACCTGAAAGTAGCGAAAATCCAAAACCCTAGCAATTGCTCCCAAAGCCGAAAAGAAGTCCAAAAGGAAGTCAAAAAGGAAGTGCTCTAAATTCTGTGAAAAGGAGCTTAAATACCTCCTAAAACCTAGCTACCCAATCCCCACAAGGAAACTAAGTTAAAATAAAATAAGACTAGGAAATAAAGTCCAAATTGGATTAGGAGAATCTGCTCACAATCTGCCTAGCCACGTTTTAGTCTCAAATCTCCCCCAAATCTGGCCCAAGATAGCTCGTTTTAAAGATAAAAATTTTCCGAACACTTCTCCAGAAGGCCACGAACCCATCCGAGATCATCTTGGGCTCCAAAAACGCAATAAAAGCCCAAAACGTCACTATTCCAGCATAGCGCACTGCTCCTTCATTTATTCGCCAGGAAATCATCGCTTGGTGGAAAAGTCTGATATTTTGATACGATCAAGCTAAGTGACTCACGTACGTCGTCCAACTGGAATTACTCCAAAATTCGTCCATTTGATTATGTTTTGCTCCAGAGAGAGTCGAAAGTCCTATATTGGAAATATAATTCAAAGTATCAAAATTCTTCCAAAATATTAACCAAAATATATTAAGAATGAGGTTAAATATATAATATAAAATCGACTCATCAGTATACACATGAGGTTGCAAATTAACTGTTAGGCTTATCTATGATAAATATTTCCATACCAGAACGTATTTTGTTTGAAATGGTTGGAAATGAAAGACTAGTTTTATTAGGTTAAACCTTTTGTTCCGCTGAAATGTCTGTCATATTCAGATTTCATCTTTAGGAAGCTTCTACTTGGAACATTTGGGGAGGATCTTTATCTCTAGATCAACATATCTTATTTACTTGTGACAATTTGTCTTTATTCAAGCCTGTATGTTGCCTCAATGATTGCCGGTATTAATGTATGATTGGATGCACTTGCTTCTTTATCAAACCAGCATCCTCATGAAAGGTTGAATCTCCTATGCTTGCGAGATACAAGAAAGGTATTGCACTTTTTTCCCCTCTTGACATTGGGAATTTCATGTGCACGTGGGTATGGAATATGTAAGAATGAGATGCTTCTTCTCATCTAACACATTGTTTGAAATCTCATTTAGAATAGTTCGTATAAATATCAATGCCATATGACCTCTGATAACACTTCAATTTATTTCAAAACTCTTCTCTTCGTTGTCTCATCGGACTGTTTTGTATCCAATTTTTCATATACAGAGGATATATTGATGTATCTCAAAGCAGAAGAGCAGGGTTGTCAAGTGTAATGAGAAAAAGATTGTCATTGGGTTCAGTTTATAATTACGATAGATACATTTTAGAAAGAAAATTCTTATTCAAGCAATTTTATGCTATGAAATTGAACATTCTTTGATCCACAAAATGTTGGTGGATCCTTATTTTTATGCTATGAAAATTCTTATACCGATGTGCCCTTTTGATGTATGACATAATTACTGATTGGTAATTCTAACTGCGAGAAATGTGGCTGAATGCAGAATTCATGCATGGTAGTAAGAGAATAAAACGATGAGAGAACTAAAAAGCAAAATAAGACAACGTTCTCTGACCTGAAATAGCAGATTGGCTTTGACATGTGGATCATCTAAGCGGTCCTTATCCACTTTGTATCAAACTCAGGTTCAGTATTGTCCAAGCCATAGTAAGCTAGATTAAACATCTGTAGAAAACTATGCTCATGTAAGATTTTGTACAGGCTCAAAAAATAAAATCCCAAGGACAAAAAAAAATAAAAACCGAAGGCTTTTAACTTGTGTCTTCACCGCATTTAAGTACAAGAGGATCATTGTCACAGCAGCAATGAAAATGTTAGGCGCCGGCGGATTGTGATGGACATCTACTCCCATATTTCTTGTAGAATCTGAGCAACTGTTGATTATAAAAGGAGAAAAGCATGTAATCTG